GAAACTCACACACATACTAATAATTATCGTCATATATATATATATATATATATATATATATATATATATATATATATATATATATATATATATAAAACCCTTAAACCTTTTCAATTTTTTTTGTCATGTCACATGCCCATACTTCATTGTATTTAATTGGGATTTTATGTGATAGGCCAAAAACAGATTTGCATATCACTAGTGTGAAATAGCATAAAAATGGTTTTCAAATGACTTTTTATGAATAAATATCTGAAAGGAGCATTATTGTATTCAGCCCCCTCTGCTCCGATACCCCCAAATAAACTTTAGTGCAACCAACTATCCCCAGAAGTCACCAACTGTGTGCAATTTCTCTTCAGTATAAATTAGAGCTTATTTAAAGAACATTAGGAAAGTTAAATACATATAATATATATATATATGATATTGGTAAATGTCCAATGAAGAAATTGATTATTTAGCTACAGTTAGATCAATATTTAGTCTAGACGCTTATAGACTGCATGAAAAAAACAATTTGGAATTGATGTAATGCTTCATGGAAAATCTTTAATCTAAGAAGAATACCTCCAAGTCAGAGGAGTTATTTCATATATACGTTTATGCCTTGAATGCACATACATCTGTAAACCTGACAAGCGTCATTTTTTAAAAGATAAACGCATTTTAGAATCCTAAAAATAAGAAAACTGATTACTCTCGCCACCGACTGATGCAATGCCACATGACTTCCTGCAACCGTGAATATGCGCTATGCAACTCAGAACATAATGCAGTAATCTGAGTTAACTTTCCATTGAGGTGACCGAAAAGCCTCTCTCCTCTGGGTTTATCATCAGTTTTTGGCAGCAGGGTCTGAACACCTCTCATAATTGCCTTAAGCATATATAAGAGTTGAAGCATTGCATTATTCATTATTTTTTATACATGGACACTTTCTCAACACCACACATCCTGCCCAAAGGCAAGAACAGAAGCCTGACTAGCAGGAAAAAGTGTAATATTCTTAAAAGCTTTTTCTCATGAAATGTATGGAATCTTAATGAATCCTAATTCCTCTCACAGTGAAATAGTTTGCATGTTGTTCTCCAAACTATTTTTAGTTGGGCAGCTTTGTTGCAGATCGGTGTGCACTCTGAGAAAGGTCTGTGATTGTTCCCATGCCTTTGCAGCATGACACTTTATTGATTCTAGCATTATCCCATCAAATTTAATGAGGCGAAGCGATGACACTTCCAAGAGAAGACAACGGCCTCTCTGAGAGACTCGTTTTGCGGGCCTGTTTGTGGTCACCCTTATCACCTAATTTCCCTCATTATTGATCATCGCTGGAATTGCTCAATAGCTTAATCTATTTGGCTGCCCTCTACCTTTTTTTTTTTTTTTCAGAGGCAGGATGGACACATGCAGCGATTCATTCGTGAGGTCAACACCACCAGTCGTTCTTGTGTTCTTTGGGACCTGGAGGAGGAGACGGACTACATCATCCAAGTCCAGTCCATTGGGCTTTATGGGGAAAGCCAAGCCAGCAAGAAAGTCCATTTTCGCACGCTCAAGAAATCTGACCAGTTCTCTTCTAACAGCTCTAACCAAGGTACGCTGCGTAAGCATCCTGCAGTTTTGTAGACAGTAAACTCACTACTTTGATCTCTTTATTCTTATGTCAGTTTTTTATACGTTTGTATTTAGAAAGTGTTCACTGGGCTTAGAGTGGAACCAAAGTCAAATTCCTTCTTTGTGTGGGCAAACGTGATGAATAAAACTGATTCTGCTGTAAATATTTAACTGACTGAATAGTTAATTCATGCTTAGATATCTGCTAACACTGGTTAATGTAGAACCTCTGATCAAAATTAAACAGGAAGTGCTTAAATGTTTGAAGGAGCTGGCACAGTCTGTAGCTATGCTAGTTTAACAACAAGATGTTGGAGGAAAGTTTGATTGAGTTTGTTCCGAAACAAACTAAGAGACGTCTCACAATGGACATGTTATTAATCCTTAATAGTCCACTGTCCCTGAACAGAGAACCCAAAGCACGCATGACATTGTTATGACAACCAGATATTTATGTATTCAGAGGAGATAGTTAATGATTCATTCAAATGATCTTCTAGAGCGTCAAACTCTTGGACTCGTGTTTTTAGTGCACCAGTCTATGTCCCATAAAGGCTTTTATAAAAGCAGCTGAAATGAGTTCCCTCTGTATGGGAGCTGGTCTTAGCACCAGAGATCGAGTGTGAGTGAGGACTGCTGAGAACACAGGTGCAGCACGACACTCCAATTCCTCTGAATCATAAGGATTCAGCAGAGGTTCAGGTGTCTGATCTCCTCATGGAAACTTTCTGGGTGCTTCCCACCAGGACAAGCTTTCCATGTTCCTGCTAAAGAAAAGCATCCTCGTAAAGTGCCGACTCAGCTTTTCCGCTTGACGAAGGCAAGCGTTTTCTTGAGATGCAAAAGGGAGCTGTTGCTTTTCTATCTTACAGTGAGATTCTTAAACTTTTTTGGTGCTTGCATTAAAAACAGAAACAGCTAAACCATAATATTCCAGAAATTGTGAGCTGAGCTGCTGCCTGACACCTTCCGTCTAATTCACCATGAATCCCAACTCACAGACAGACGCGGCCCATTGCTGACACTTCTTCCACTGTTGTGCTGAAGTCTCTTTTCTTTTTTTTCTTTTTTTTTCCCTCCGCTCAATCCTTTTAAAGCAAGCTGACATTGAAAATGAGACAAAGTGAAGGCTAGTGTTGTCGAGTGTAACAACATGAAGGCTTCCTGTCAGAACCTCACAGTGGGATCTGTGGTGGTGATGAAGGGAGAATGCTTTCCTCTCAGACACCGATACATTATTGACAGACTCTTCAGACACGGCAAGCTGCTCTGAATTTATGCAACGTTACATAACACCACTGTGATTCTCGACAGACTCCAAAACATTTTAAATTCAGTAGACGGGCTCAGCTCAGGAACCGGTGGAAAGAAGAAGACCATGACCAAAGGAGAGTATATTATGCAGTTTTCTTTTCTTTCTTTTTTTTTTTTTTTAGCTCAGAGTAAAAAGAAAAAAAAAAATTCTCTAAACCCCTCTGCGTTAGCTCAGGCACGACTATATGATGAGCCAAATGTATTCAATCTCGAAATAATGAAGCCTCAACTTGACACTTGTTTGTGAGCAGGTCTGACACACTCAGCTGATTTTTCCTAATGATATCACACACACACAGGTTGGAGGTTGCGAAAACTGGAAACGCTGATACAAGGGAATCATAAATGTTCCACTTTCGCTGACTCAGAATCGGCTTAATTTGTTAAGCAAGCAAGACTGTCCACGGAGGAAAAAAAAAAAGTAACAAATAGCAGCTAATCAGAAGAGCCTGTGCACTATAAATCAAGACAACAAGGGCGGTGATGTACCGAGTTGCTTTACTTAACAAATCCATCGCATTACCTCACATTGCTCTTTTTTTTGTTCACGTTTATTTGAGTTCAAATGATTTCAGACAATTACACTACTATAAAGATATCTCAATAAAATGCTGCGCATACACAGGTTTACTGCCAGTGCCGACTATTGGAGAGACTTATAGTGAAGCATTAATCAAGGTTTGTAGCCTCTCCGGGTCTTCCAACTGGGTCAGAAAAAACAGCCCATTCAGTAAATTGAGATTCATTTTTTTTAGGAGCTTGTTTTGGCGTCTTAAAGCAGTTTCTGCCGGCGTTTCATAAATCCAACGCCAGGAGTGCTGACTCCGTCCTCACACCCTATTTTTAAAGTCCAGTGACATCGTTTATAATTATGCAGCTTTTCTGAACCTCGTAACTCAATGTTTTTCATCACGCTTTTTGATTACACTTAATGCTGTTTTTGTTTGCCGTTTAACTTTAGAATAAACTCTCATAATCGTATTACAGTTTTGTGTTTTAAATACTTGAGTAGTTTCTAAAGATATAGTATAAGGGTTCTGAATCCTACATGAGACATTGTCTGTGTGTGAAAGAAAATAAACAAGAGTAAATTCAGTATATCTCTAAATCAATCTTTGTTCTGAAAATTGACCCATTTTCACCTACAGCATTTATAGAATGAAGCCCATAACTATTATGTAAAGTGATTACTTATTCAGAATCAAAATGTTTTATAAAAGCCAGAAGATTGAGAATGTTAGATACACTGCCTAAAATTACACAGGAGATAGAGTTCGAACGATAAATTTTTAAATAAATATAATAAATAAAAAATGTAAAGTTGGATGAGGCCTCTCAGTAATGACTGGTTGGGACAAGTCCATTTCTTTAACACACTGCTATGACCAGGCGGTTATGTAATAACGGGTGTGTGAGACACATTCAATATAAAGACGCAAGAGGCCATGTTATCACTAAAAGTAAACAACAACATTTTAACACATGCTGTCTGGTTCTTCTGTACTCGTATCAAATCAAATAAGGAGATTTATGACTTTTTTTATGCTCTGAAGATTATTAGTTTCAAGTCATTTTATTTGTTGGAGGTGTTTTAGTCATTTGCTTTTGTTTATTTTATTTTAAAAGCCTTTCAAAGTTTCAGAGCTCCTTTGTTATGGTTAAGTGCTTCCTACTGAAGCCATATCGATTTCTGCTACACACAGTAAGGGTCGAGAGTTAGGAATCTGATCCTCGGCAATTAATGAGGTTCTTTAAAATAACATGAATGGATACTAAGCATAGTCAGACCTGAACAGAATCTGTTTTAAAAATAAATCATATATAGTATGTTTTTTTTCTGTTGATATGAGCTATCAAATTTTTTCACCTTCTTTTAAATACAATGTCAGCTGTGAGCCAGTTTGTGTGCCTTTCTATAGATGGGTAAATTAGCATTGTTAGCATGAACTGAGGATCCATAGCAGGAGTAAAAATGTTTCATTGGCGCAATAAAAATCACCCCCCAAAAGATATCCCTACTAACTCCTGCCAATCTACTTAACATCTTAAATTAAAAGATAATTTTTTTGACATGGTTCTTTGAGCACAGACTAACCAAGGAGGTGGTCCCCATAGGCACAATTACTGTACAGTACTTCAAAGAGATGCTCAGCCGCCTCCTGCGAGGCAGCAGTTTCACTTAGACTCCATCATCAAAAGCACTGACACAGAGACTCGCTTCACTTAGTCAGATATATGTGGAGTTTCCCCAACCATGTACAGTATTTTATATACTGATGAACCTGTGGATAAGTGTAAAGCAGGGATAGGCTACAAAAACAACATCCAAAACTCTCAGCATCACACGAGGCACTGTTTAGAGCATCAAGTTAAAAATAGAAACAGTATTGCACAAACACAAACCTATGAAGACATGGCTGTCCACCTGAACCAACAGGTGAAAGAAGGAGCATGAAAGATGTATCTCTGGAGGAAGTGCAGAGGTCAACCGCTCGGGTGGTGGGATCTGTCGGCAGAAAATCTATTAGTTTTCACAAATTTGGCCTTACTAGAGGAATTGCACAAAACTTTGGCTTTGTTGAAATCAAATCTGGTTTTTAGTTTGCCACAAGCCATGCAGGCAACACAGTGGAAGAAGGTTCAGATGAAATGAGTCCAAATTTGAGCTTCTTGGTCTATTTGCAAAATGCCACAAAGCAACAAAACTGAAATTGAACAAATGTCAATATAAAACATGGTGGTGTGGTGAGGTTGATATTCTTCAGCAGGGCTAGGCAACATGAGGAACTTTGCTGAAGGAAAACCTGTTTAGAAGTTACAAAAGGCTTAATACTGGAGCAGAGACTCGTATGCAGTTGGACAACAATCTTGAACATATACCCAGAGATTTAAAAAAAATGCTTTGAATCACTGTGCAGACCTTAAATCAACCTTGACCACTTGAAAATCTATTTCAACCTATGCTCTCCCCCAGCTTGCAAAAAACAAAAGGACAACAGCTTTTCTCTCTAGATGTTCAAAGCTGGCAGAGTCATTTCGCCCAAACGTTTGCAACTATAAATGCAGGATGAAATGCTCTACAATGTAATGAATTGAGGAAACTTTTTTACATTGCTTAGACAATTATGCAGCACTTTGTGTTGATGTAGCACAGACATCCATGTAAAATACATTGACATTTGTGGTTTTTACACATGTAAGAAACTCCAAAGGGTATGAATATTTTTTTGGCAAGCTACTATGCACCAGCACAACTGCTTTATGTACAGGAGATGTCATAAAAGAAATAATCAGTAGAAGCATGGTTGTGACTCCTGTATTAAATCCGTAGTGAGTTGTTGCACATCTTCCCGTCACAGTTCCGAGCTACAATCGGCATCGTGGGATTACAGGCGAGCAGAAGGAATTTCAAGTAATCATCTCGGCACAGACTGTTCGGTGTATCAAAGGCTCAGAAGTCCTCTTGTTCTGCATTAGAAAAGAATCACACAACAATACGAGCGTGGTGCAAACAGCACTGCAACGTTATTTAGGTCATCCAGAAATGTGCTTTCTCAAATCCACATGTCTATCTTCACGATATACGATACAAATCTAAAACAACATCACTGCTCTAAAAAAGGGAAAAAAGCAAATGAGTGCAAAATTAAAGCTTTTTTTTAAGTGAGTCAGAACCTCTTTAGAGTTTTGTGGTCTTCCGGTAATCAATGGAGAGTCCCTTTTAAAAAAACAGCACGAGATAAGCGATAGAAAAACATGAGCAACTGTCAGGATGTCGGGGGACGTGATGGAATAACCGATCCAGCGGAGCCTTAGAGGCTCCAGAGACTAAAAGGCCGTGCTGCTAATGTCTCAGTGTGGGCTTTGGTAAAAATGCACACGCTTCTTCCCATGCTGGAAAGATGGAAATTAATTACAAAGAACCAATTGCTGAGTGGTAATTGCCGAGTGGGTTCAGGTAGCTTGAGGACACGTGGGAGTAATAAACTGGATAACAGCTTTCTGAGAAAGCCATCAAGCAGCGACCTCGGTCCTGATCTGGCATTTTAAAGTAATGTTCCTTCTGATTTCTATGCAGAGCTTAATGCACAACATCTACATGGAGAGTTAAAAAAAAGGAAATTATTCCATAAAAGAAATACTAAAAATACTATTAATATGACATATATTTAAAAAAAAACACATTAAAAAAGGGTAAAAAAATGTATCATTTTTTGACAAATGAAGAACGAGGAGGAAAGCCAACTCTTTTATTCTTGCACTTCTTAGCTTTCTATTAATAAATCTTCACTTAGCTTTTTTAATCCCCTTCCCAAATGTTGAAACTTGTTGAACAGCTTGTTGGATAATTGACTATAAGCTTCTTATTTGCAAAGACTTTCAATTTAATTTCCTTCAGCAGGACAAAGTTGTCAAATGGCTTCATTGAAAACACTGCTGCCTCATTGGTTCCTGCTGTCAGGGTAATTTAGTTGGTCTGCTCTTAGAGATTATAAGGGAGACTAAAAAGAGATATTCCAACATACGCATTCATCATGTTTATCTAGATTACACATGACAATATGTTTTCAAGCTATCATAATACTTTATACTCCTTTTTTTTGTTTTGGTGAACTCTGGCTCCCTTCCTCTGTCCACTTACAAAGACATCCCATAATATATCTAAAGAGATTTCGAAGCACAACTGAGCACTCGCTGAAGCTACTATAATGTGAAAAGAGCTGACAGACCGTCACTTTTGGGGCAGCTCCCTGACAAGTTGATTCACTAAAGGAGCCAATTAGGAAGAGTGGTGCGCTGGAACACGTCCATCCAGCCACGTTAGGAGACAGGACAAGGTCTAGTTGATACAGTTAGAGCAGGATTAATTTTGCAGACTGGTTTGTTGTTCATCTCTTTCACTGAAAGCTAATGCTAATAACAGTCATGAGCCACAGAAAAAGATAAAAAGCTTTTCACAATCAACGCAGACACAGTTCACATAAATTGAAACTTGTGTCAAGATATTTTGGCTGGATTCTTAAACACTCAAGGATCAAATTGTCAGAATCGGTGTTCATGGACTCAAAACTTTATATTTACTGCAGTGGGTTCATAAATGCGTCATATTTACCTTCTGAACTGTGTGCTTTATCCTAGACGATCCCACAGTGCAGGGCTTGGACAAGTCTCGGCATCTTCAAACGGGGGAGATGATCATCATTGTTGTCGTCTTGGTCATGTGGGCAGGTGCGTTTGTAAAAATGAGAAAAGTGTAAGTTTTAGATTTGAAATAAAAAAAAAGTAGGAAAAAAAAACATTTAAAGTAGTTTCTTGTGTTTGTATTTTACTGGTTGAAAGTAAGAAAAAAGACGCAGAGTAATTTAGAAAATGATTTATTTCAGAATTGTCATCTTTGAAGGACCCTGTCAGTAAAATTATTTAATGAAATTAAAAGCACCAGTTTATTTCTAATAAACACAATTTCTACGTCAGAATTATTACAATTATGATAAACTTACCCAAAATGTATTGACAGTATATGGGATCTCCATTATCAAAAATAATGAAGGTTTCTGTCTTATGGCTACATCATCATTCTGACTTAGTAATTATCAGTAAAGAAGCCAGTGGCAAAAGATCAGAGGGATCCCCGAAGAGTCCATCTAAAAATAAAATAAAACAGAAAACAGACAGGCAGGAAAAAAAAAAAAAGATTTATTTTTACGTTACACCGCTTCACAAGAGAGACTCTTCTTTCTCTTTCGGAGTCTCCATCCATCTCAGGGTTTCCACGACTGCTTAGAAGTGCGCTGATTAATGATTGTGCTGAGGTACAATAACACACGATATATCTGACAGACTGCTCGAGTGAAATGTTAGAAAACCCTAATGAGAGAAAACAAGCCGACACAGAGGCTTCAAAGAGTGAGAAAACAGAGCTGTTTTCACATTTGAAGATGATCCTCACTATCCCCACAGTGTTGAATTCGGTTTGATTTGATAAAATTCTGTACTTTTAGCTCAGTTTGTCCGAATTGTAAAACATAACTTAGAAATGAAAAAAATGAGTGATAGAGATTTTTGGTATTATCATTTTGTTCAGTCTAATGTTAATGTGTGTATAAACTGACCTGGAGGTTACGACTGTCTGTTTATCTTGATGTGAGACAGTTAACTCTGTGTTTCCCAGATCTTAATTCTTATCAACCAGAATACCTCCTAACTGCCTGTGAGCAGTCGTATTTTGTCTCGTTTATCCTCCCTCTTTGTTGACAGTTTGACCTAGAGCTGAACTGGGCTCAGATCGTAGATCAGATATCACACCTGGAACTGAGTTGCTGGTTTGTTTAGAAGTTTTACGACCTTTGTTGTTCTTCCTGACTGCCCCTTTTGGTTGTTCTGCTTGACAATAAAACAGGGGCTCGCGTGGAAGGAGATCAGAATTCTCTGTGAACGGCCTGGAGAGGCAGTGGCGGAGAGTTCTCCTTTTGCAAAAGCTTTGTCTATAAAATTCATATACGTTGTCTGTGGTCTTTTTATATAGGTTCGAGAAAAAGTACCTATCAATGAGATTATTACAAAGCATGAGAATTGTTCTCATATTTGATATGCCATCCGAGTTTAAATAAATAACTATTTTTTATCATTTATCATTTGATAGCACTTACATTTAATGACCTTGCTTCAATGTTCATGTTACTTCTGCAAAATGCACTTGTAAAATGAATATTTTTTTTCTGCTGAACTTTGCATTATGTATGAACAGTAGTGTATAACAAGAACAAGCAATATATAGATACAATCAAGGAATTTAGCCATCATACGGTCATTTAAACAAAATTCTTAATTCTTTTTTACATTTCAAGACCAAAATCTTCTTTTAATTTCAAACTAACTTTCATTCATAGCTTATGGCTCAATTTAACCTCAACACAGAACTGAACTGAGTATTTCTGTCTCAGCAGAGTTCATGTTAATAGAAAAAAAAAAGAAAACCACATTCAGGGATCACACATTAATCTTACGTAATGTAACCATGACGTACATCAATGCGGTGAACATTATCGACAACATCAACGTCTCTTTGCTAATTAGTCAGCAGCTGCACCACTGTAAAAGGCATTGATATTAATGTCAGGCCAATCAAAGAGTGCCATGAAGATGTCATTACCAGATCTCTTTATTCATTTCTGAAAATGTGACGGCAGCGCCCTTATAGAAATTCCCTGCCTTAGTGTTTTCAGGAAGCCGACTCCGAATTTACAATGCTGTTCAGACAGGAAGCACAGCTGCATCGAAAAGGCTGCAAAACGCACAAAAAAAGGCAAGCCGTATCATCTTTCCATCTTTAAAAATGAAAGCGCAGCTATCAAAACTCCCCGGGGAGCCAAGTTCCATTATCCACACGGCATTTTAGTGCGCAGGGGTGCAGGAAGTGTGAATGACAGTGGCTTCGTTGCGACAGAGTTCCTGTTTGTTGTGCGAGTGCGTTTTTTAACGTGTGGCCTCCTCTTGTCCTCCTGGCAGCTGTTATAGCCCTGTTCTGCCGGCAGTATGACATAATAAAGGACAACGATTCCAGCAACAGTAAGGAAAAGGTCAAGCCGTTGTCGGAGAGGAGCACGCCGGAGCACCACAGCGGAGGACTCCTAAGAAGCAAGGTGAACTTGAAGAAATGTTATAGCTTAAGAGATTTTTAGCAAATTGAATTTAAAACTATGACTTTAAAACATTACCTCCAGTATCTCCGTTGGACTTGCCGTATATGTAAAAGTTACTGTGTGGATTTTTCCACCCGTCACTGTGGCGTCCTCCATGATTCATGTAGGAGGGAAGACATCTAGAGTTCAGGGAGCCCTGGTACAAATCAGCAATAATGTACATTTAGCCATGTTTGCAAAGGAGGACAGTCACACACGACGTTACAATACATGAAATTTAACTGCAAATTCTACTTACGTTCCCATATTTACACTACATTTTCTTTCTTGTCTTTTGCAGTTTCATCCCTCTGTGCCATCTATAAACATCATAGAAGTCTGATGAGAAGATGGCCAAACTTGAACTGTTGCGTCTTCAACTGTTAATGCTTTTTTTTATTATTGTTTCTCTCCAAGTTGAGGAAAAAAAAAAAAAAAACATTCAGAGAAAAGCAGAAATGAGGATTGATGAAACAGTTAACAGAAGACTGATATGCATTAGTGCTTGTTTCGGGGAGAAAACACATACATTTGTGTTCTGACACAGGAAGTCTTTGCAATTGCTGAAAAACTATTTCCCCTGCAGATTAATAGGACTTGATTTAATGTTAATCCACGGTGCAGAAAACACTGATGTCTTTGCTGGGTGCTTGCTTTAAAGCTGCAATATGAAACAGTAATTTATCATCTCTGGGAGGCGTATCTTTGTGACGCTAAACGCGCGGCGTATTTTTGATATTGGCATGTGCAGTTATTATACTGTGTTCACCTCTTCTAGACAAGTGCGAGTAGTGTTCATATGCTGCCTGAACATTATACTGCTATGTGATTACTGTAAGTAGGATCTGAATAGGATCGAAGAAAGTTTGTGTTAAAAACCTCTCTCTGAAAATATCAATACCACTTTTTTTTTTTTTGGTCCAAACTAAACTGCTAATTTTTGGATAACACTGTGTGTTTTCATATTTCACATATAAGAAATAAAGTTGCATGCAGGGCGTGTAGAAAACCATTCAAACTTAGAAACTCAAAATGGAGAAATAAATGCATTTACATGTGCCAAGAAGCTTTATTGTATATTTAGTTAGTCTGCTTTCAGAGAAGGTTGCTACATCTTAACATGCAGTGCATATTTATTGTAATTTCCTGAACACGTTTTTTTTTTTTTTTTTTTTTTTCCTGACATGTATAATAAAACTTGTTTGGAAATGTCTCATTAATAAAATAAAGCTGATATAATAAAGGTAATTGAAGCGGAAGCTACAAAGTAAATTCAATTGTTTGCAAAAATACTTGTACATTAAACATCTTCAGGGTTGTTAATTACTAGCGAGGGTTTAAGAGAATTGCATTTTAGTAAGAAAGTTCCTGTGAAGACTCGTATGAATGTGCACTTTAATAGATCAGTCCTTAGTCGGAAAATAAATCTGTTTTACACGTAAAATTGTGAGTAAATGTTCTTATATTGAGGGACAACATGCCAAACTGTTTTAAATCAGACTTTCTACATTTCTTAACATACAACATTTTCGTCCTATTCTGCACCACCATTCATTGTTTTAATGGATAATTTTGAGACAAAAACAGAGTTTCATGATGATACTTTAAAAAAAAAAGAAAAAAAAAAAGATTTGACAGCAGTGGTTGCTATTCACAAAAATCAGACAAGAGACGGAGATGCTACTCCATTCAGAGCACTGCAGATTTCAGCAAATGTCTAAAAATACTTTAACTTGAGCGACGCCACTTAGGGACGGTACACTACAGGCCAATATTTTAAGCAAAAGACCAAAGCAGTCAAAACGTAGAAGCAACTTCAATGTCTTTCTTAAAAGACCATTTGAATTCTAGGGAGTTTGGTGTATTTAAAGGCAGGACCATTGTTTTGCTTTGGCAGAATAATAAGTTATTTGTTATTTGTTCAAGTAACTTATTAGGTGTCATTCTGATCATGACACAATTGAACTCAACTTTGCAATATTTCTGAAATATTAAATTATTGACCAGAGATTTGATATGGATACTATGCACATCACTGCATAGCCAAAGTATCTCTCCAAGGCTCCTAATAGAAGATTTGCATAAGAAGTTAAAGGGCCAAAAAGCCTCTTTTTTTTTTTCTTGTTTGAGCTACAGAAAATTTTCTAGCCATCAAGTTTTTAAGTGTCGACATTTAAGAAAGATATTGAGCTTACTGCGGTGTAAAAATGCGTAAAACTGAATGCAATATGCATAGCAGTGATAAATGTATTTAAATACAATCAAAATCTGCAACAAAAAGCACAAGGGCCCCAATACAGAACTGTGAGGTAAATCATAAAAGAGCAGAAGACGGTCAGTTTGAATCGCTTGCAGAAAATAATCATGCACATATATAAACTTTTTCAAAAGTGCTTCTAATACCTTCACCCAATTCCTCAGTTTATTGATAGTGATCCGATGGGCTCAGGTCAGAGCCAACACAAGCAGGAGAGGAAATTCTGCCTGCATCATTCATCTAAAGTAATACATCTAATTCCTCATAGGCAAAGATGATTCAATCTTTCCTTATTTACTTTTCTGTAAAAAAAAATAAAATAAATAAATCCCTCAAGTCACTGCCAGCCAACACCAGTTAATTAACTCACCAACAGGTGTTACATTTACCCTCCATGAGCCAGGACTGTCTGCTGCAGCTCCGAACAAGACAAATTCACCGAAGCATTTCATTCAGCCTTTTAAACTGGAACGTTCCTGATCCGAAATGTAATTACAGTGAAGTACCTTAAAAATAGAAAGAGATTACATTACAATAGAAATTACTAGATGTCCAGCTAACTCTGTCGCAGTGCAGCGCGAGTGGCCAACATCCATTAGTTCAGATGATTTATAGCTCAGATGAGTCTCGATTACATTGTGATTCAGAGATTAAAGCATGAAGTGTTTCTATATATAAGCACACTTCACTTTCTTTTAATAGGATTTGGACCAGCGCACATTTTCCTCCGTTGCAGAATTGTACCCTTTTCTTCAGATCGCGCAGTTTTTTTATTTTTTATTTTTGGTTTTGGTTTTTTTTCTGAAAACCTGTGAGCGAATGGGATGTGTGTTTTACACTTTTACAAATACTCTTTAAAACTGAAAACAAACTGAAATCCAAAGTCATATTTTTCAGACAATTAAATTAGGTTTTTCACTAGTAACCTCTGAATTTCCACACTGGCTCACCTTTAATACTCAAACTCTTCACTGGGAGGCTCTTAAGTAAAGACTATATATGAAGAAGAGCTATTGTTTTATAAAATCTGACTTTTCTGACACAGTATTCTCATTAGTTAACACTTTAGTACATCTGACCTCTAAAAGTCAGGAACAATAGGTTATCGGAGTCAAATAGTACAACCATTATCAGCACAATATTAATTCATTAGGGCATTTGGAACACCTTATCAGTCTTTAATTAGCCATTTGAAAATGTGTTGGATAGTCTATTATCCAACCAATTACACGCTCATGAATACTAAACGAGGTGTTCATCTGCAGATTGTGATACAGAGGGTATCGCAGACTTTGGTCGAGACTAAAATACTCTTAGGTTAGTGAATAATTACAAATGCTGTGGTATCTTTGTGTTTTTAGGAAGAAATGCCATCTTGTTGTGATTTTGCGTTTGCTAACAAATGACGGCTTCGGATCATTGATCGAGAAGCAAAACTGTGACAGAAACGGTTTAGGAAGAATTTATTTAATGCCACTTGTCAATTATTGCTTATTCATCATGTTACAAAGTGATTTTTTTTTTTTACTTTAACAAACATGCAGCTGCAGACTGCTTTCATGTCGTGCAGGTGGTATCTCGGTTGTCAAGTCAAAGAGTTGCAAAGTGGGCTGAGAGTATCTGAAGTAAGGAGAAGCTTGCATATTCATATAAATTGTTTTTGATCAAAAGAAATGGAGACCGCATTCAACCAGAAGTAATAACCCCGCAGTTATTTATGCAGCACAGAACATAATTGAAAGGTGGCTGCGAGTCTCAAGAGGGGCTCTCTGAAAATACGAAAGCATTTTAAGCTTAAAGCTGGATAGCCTTCTTTGAAGGCGAACCAAGCGCTCCGCAGAGGCTTTGGTCTTCAACAGTTAGTTGTTTTGGAAAGAAGCTGGCATATTTATTTTTTATGGCGTCTGGCTTGCACTTTTAATTCTCCGTTATACTCCGCCCTGGCAAATTAAAGTAGACGGCAAGTCATATTCTGTGTTATAAATTAACTGATTGTTCTGCATTTACTTCCACATTTTGGAAGCATTTATAGCGAGCGTCAGAAATGACCGTTTTAGCACAGAAAGAAGTGAAACTTTGATGAGCTTACATTTGAAATTGACTTTCTGATACGGCTGTGTGTATTTCCTGTTCCTACAGCATTTCGTATGAATCGCTAGGAGCTCATTTATATCTGGCAAATTACACCTCCAAATGTCCGCGTAGCTCTCATAGCCATTAGTCATAGCAATCACTACAGAAACATTCAGAATCAGCAAAAAAGCAGAGATAAAAAAAAAAAGAAAAAAACATTTAACTACTGTAAGTATGAGCTAGACTCAGAGGGGAAAGAGTTTCAGAAAAGTTTTTGGAACCTAAATTACTTGAGCTGCACTAATCAAATCAGAAACACAATGTTCATCTAGTTCTGAGTATACCTCTAACCCTATTGTGATTATCCGCAAAGAAAACATGCGTTCCAAACTGAAGACATGATTTGCACATTCCTGCATTTCTCTGCTATTCAGTTCACTCGACCTCAGAGCTCCTGGCAGACTAGAACCAACTTCACAGCCAATATTTAAAGATCAAAATGTTCTAGTGAGTATGTTTTGACTTTTTTTCTTGTTGCCAATTCTTTTTTCAGGCAATTATGCTCATGTAGTCTGAACCCCAATTTCAATTTGCTGATCACAATGGACCCGTTTTTCATCATCATCATCATCATCATCATCATCATCGTCAGCTCTTCTGTTCATATTCTAACAGGTTTTCTTAGTTTACTGAGGAACCATTGTGTTTGCCTCTTCTCCAGTTTCCTTACCCATCTGCTACTATCTGAAGAGGAGAAATGTTTGGATCTGACCTCAATCTTACCTGTTGATGATCAGTGCTGTTTGAATAGTCGCAATGAATGCTGGGAAGAAATTACTGTCCAACGAAAGATTGTCTTATCTCATGCAGCGCTGACCACATTAATTGACACCTCTTGTAAGAAAAAAAAGGGTAAATTAATGTTCAATTGCAATAATGTATTCTCACACTGTCAAATTACAAAAATCCAACTTGACCTGGGAGTAAATTTATCAAGAGAAGAATATCCTGTTTGATCCAACCTTGCTAAATGTTATCTGAAGTGATAACAGAAGAGAGTTTTTAAAAAATGCAGTATTAGGTGAATGGGTGTCAATAATTGTGCTTTTGCTAAAAATAAATGATTCTTAATGTGCTATAGGCGGAGTATCCACCACTGATTAAATCACCTCACATAAAAAGGGATTTTGCTAAATATTTAAGGGGGGAATTTTACGTCAGCAATGTTGTTTTGCAAGGCTGAAGTGCCACTTTATGCTGCTGGCTCTATAAATGGCCATCACTGGATGGATATGTGTTATCTAATATTTAATTCAGCAGGGAGCTGAATGAAAAGTCTTATCGATTTGACTTTCAGTCGGAAAGCCAATCGGCGACACGTCCTTGCTTTTGATTGCCCACACAGAGCTGTAAAAATATTTGAGAGCAAAACAGCATGGGCTGAAGTGCAGGTCTGAATTGACATTTTTGCCCAGGCTATTGGGAGGGGGAAAAAAAAGAAACATTTCCAGTTAAACATTTGATATTGACTTGTTTGTCTGCACATTCAGCATCTCAGGGCTAAAAATTAGTCTGTGACTACCAGGCATAAAGTACTGAAGAATAAAGCGTCAACATGTCTTTGACCTTTTCTAATACATCTACTTTTTCTTGTTAAAAAAAAAAGTAGGAAACAATAGAATATTTGTACAAAGTTATTTACTGTGAATAAATATGTAGCAAAGCATAGGTTTCCAAATTCTGTACACGTTTTACACAGATTACACAATATTTTTTGCAGTCTACACACAAACTGCTTTTATTGTAACATCACAACATTGTTTAAAACAACCCTAGTTGCATAGATTGAAAATGGGCAAGCACCTTTTTTATTATTTTTGTTTTTTTATTTTAAATAAAACAATCCTGTAAACTTATTCGGGGAAATAAAATCTTAGCTCAAACGAAAGAAAACGGGTTTCATTATTACAACCTTCAAATGTCTCCTGGACTCAAATCCTCATGGGCTGATTTGTATTCAGGGCACCTCCTGATTCAGTTTGGAGTGTTATATACCTCCAAAGTCCCCCAGACTCCCCACCTCCTCCTACACATGAAACAGAGCCGTGCCAAAGGACCGGTTGCATTCAAGCTACGCAGCAGGTCTGCCCATATTGATGTGTTGCACTGTCAATGTGAAATTCACTTTGTTAGATTCAAACTTTGTTAGATCCATAATCCATTCAATAGCTTCTTTGTTTCTAAGTGTTCCTGCAAAATGATCTAATATTGGTTGTGTTACAAAATTTGGTTCTATCAAAATGTTATTTTCCTCTCAAACTCAATTAAAAAGGGACCGAGTGGTTGAAAACAAGTCCGTTATGGACTCGTTTTCAACACAGAATGCGTTGCATTACTTTGCTGGATCTTAGTTCTGACTCACTGATAAAAACCTGTCCTATTTTTCTCTCAAAAGTTGTCACACCACTGTTAAAATACCAGAATTTTGGCATTGCAGGACATATATCCTGTGTAATTTAACTCCAAAACATCCAAATTAAAGGTGGAAATACAAAAATAACTTAGAAAGCTGGCTGGATGGTTGCATAAGTTTGCAGTAAAACTAACCCTAAACTTTACCTAGATATACCATAAAATACCAAAGGATACCATAGCATGACGCTGCTACCACCATGTTTCACAGAAATGTGTTATAGTTGAAAGATTTTGGAATTGTGGCTCAGAAATTAAACCAGATTTGGTTTCATCGGGCCAAAGCACATTCATCCAACGTGCTTAAGAAATGTTTACCTCTCAGTGGACGTCCCATGAAGTTCCATCATCTTACTCCATACATCCAATAATTACAGCTGACCATCGTTACTTATGGAAACACAACCTGTACTAACCTGAAAGTCCTGAAGGTGCTTCAGTGTTGCTTTTGTCTTTTTTATTTTATTTTATTACATTTTGACTTTTCATATATTTTGAAAATTTCTGTAATGTCACGGTTACCCAGTCCGTCCATTGTCCATCCAACTTGGCCTTAATTTTTGTTAAGTTTAATAAGATTCAATACAATCAAGGTAAGACGTCAAGCTATGAAGAGTAAATGTTGAAATGAAATTGTATATAAATTCGATCAAATTAGAATCGTGTACTTATGCAATCAAGTGGTAATTGCTACTTATATTTTCATCAGACATTTGCTTTCAGTTGTGTATTTGGTGTCTAAATTTCATATTTTGCATCACAAAACTATGGATTTTAAACAGGGTGTGTACACTTTTTAAATCAACTGGTCTTTTGATATCAATAAAATCTTGCACACACTAAGACATCAGTCCAATAGTGACCAAATGCAGTAAACACTGGCAGGTGTTTGAGCAAGAAATAAACACATAAAATTGTACATTTTGACATTGCGTGTCCTTGAACTTCACAGTTGAAAAATCATTTACCGACGCTCAGGATGCCATCCTCGGTATAAATACGCAGTTTTCTTTCGAGAGGCAGTCAAGCTCGTATTTCTGTCAGTCAGGAATATAACAATGCAATTAAGCTCCATGGCGTAACCTGATAAGCCATCCAATTATTCTGCAGCGGGTGTCATGACAACAACACAAGAACCCCCCACCCCCTGCGTCACATTTATTCTCAGCCAGGGTGCCATGAATACAGAGAGAAGAGACCTCTTCAGTCACACTCGGGGGACAAAATAATACCCTTCTTACAATGAGCGTCCTCTAAGAAACGAAGAAAAATAAAGTGCTCAGTCTAAATCTGTAATGAGATTTCGGGCAGATCGTTTCCACTCACGAGGACAGATCCTGGGGATGAACCGTGTTTTCTAGAGTTACAGAAGAAGGTTTGAAAAGGCATACATGAGTTTAACCTGTGACTACTGACGTGCATGTGACCGAGTAAAAGCCGTTTCTTGCAGCTGTAAAGGTATCGCACATTAAAGTCTGTACAAACCACACATATACATCTCAGGAATGATAAATAGCTTTAAAAAAACACTTGCATAAAGCCCTGATTCTACACCATTTACAGTAATACAATATGCTCACCACAATGAAAAATACAACATTAGGAAATAGGTACCTTTACTCAAAGACATAGGAGGTGGAATTACAGTTATACTCCAGCATCATCACTTTTCTTTAACACTGACACCATCTTTATGTACAGTGACGGCTGAATAAATGAGATGAGGATAAATGTGAGCGATTAAAAAACACACACCAGTGAAACAGCTGAAAGTAATGTTGCTGTAATGCCAACCTGTTCCTGCCAGAGAGGAGCCGCAGCTGGATTTAATGATGAGTTGGTGAAATAAGACATCATAAAAAAGTTTAAAATATATATAAATAAATGCAAGTAGATTGCTTTAATAAGCCTGATTCAAGCCACAATTCATCAATTATATATGTTAAATATATTAAAACTATTAAAAATTAATTATGCTTGAAACTATGCGTGTGCCTCTTGTGCACATCATTTATAAATACTGACAATTAGTTGGGAATTTCAGTCAGTATAACATTATATTTATAATTTAAGCTATAAATATAAGTTAAGACAAATAAGCTTGTTTGTGTAGAGAATTTATTTATTCATATATTTTTTTAATACAAGCGAGTCCCATTGAGAGATGAGGTTTCATTTTCAAAACAGTCCCAGTTAAGCTGTTATAAAATAGAGTGATAAAATAAATTAGTTGAAAAAAATGTTCAAATGTTATAGAATACTAATTTGTAAATGACTTAAAAAAAAAAAAAACAGGCAGATTAAAGCAACATAAGACTTAATCAGCTGACCCAGGTGCAGTAAGTTTAAAAGCAATGTTCCTGAGAGAACATTTTAAAAACATGTACAGGTTTTTGGAGAGTTTTTTAAAAACCACTTGAATGATGTTTAGAGCACAACAAAGAAGTTAAACTTGACAGTTACAGATTCTGCTGCAAAATGTTCCAGACAGATGGAGCCAAACACCACAATGTCTCTTTCCAAAGCTCTTTACGTGCTGAACCAACATCGCAGGTAGTAAAAACCTTTATTTTGAAGATCATAATAATTAAAGAGACACATTTCCCTTTCCTTTTTGTTTAAAGAGCGTATTCTAGCACAGTCCCAGTTGTTTTTATTACTGGGAAATTTTATCTAATGACCGTCCATAATGTACATTTTCTATCCCCCAACTTTATGATCTGGTGACAATAGAGGCAATCGGAATACACCAACTTGATGGGCATTTTTATGTTTTGTAACTGCATGTTCCTGCTTACAGTAACCACTAAAGGATGGATAGTTATAAAGTCATGGTTATCAACAATGCTGGAACTTTTAAACCAAAACTCATTAGGTCCTAAAGAGTCAAAAGTGTGGCAAAAGCATAACCCACTATACCATTATGCCACGACCAAAAGCCAAAAACAAGGCAAGATGGAATCATGCTTCATGATGTCACACCAAATTGTGACCCTACCATCTGAACATCAGCCCGTCATCTCGTTTTGGTGAGCGTTTGCTGAAGCAGGAGTGAACTCCTGGTTTTCCATCTTGTGTCCTGCTCTAATGTTTGCCATGTTGCGGATTCAGAGATTGTATTCCACACACTTTGGTTGTAACAATTGAGCTACTGCTCCCCTTTCTATTGCCTCAAATCAGTCTGCCAATTCTCCTCCGACCTCAGACATCAACAGTACCATTTTTTTTTTTTTTGTCCACTCAACCAAATATTTTCAGTTTTTGGACTGTTTGGCTCTGCAAGAATAGTCCCAAGTTGTCTTCGCCACATATTTGCCTAAGTTTTTGACTTGCTTCCAGCTTCCTGGTTGATTTGCCATATACTTAAACTTCCATTTAATACTTGATGCAATTTGTTGATATAGTCAGAACAGTAACAATGGATGGTTTGAATCTGGCACGGTGAGAAACAAACATGATCTAGGCAGCACTTGTACAGTGTAATTTATTCAGTATTAGGCCAGCATCTGATGATTCAAACATTGGATTCCTTTCAGAGAAGTTGGCAGCCAAAAAAAAAGATTAAAGGGCTTTCCCATTCCCACAAGCAAGTCAGTAAAAACACATTTCTGGATTGTGATAAATAGACTTTTTAGGCAGCTTTTACTGTGATCAGAATTTCACTGTGTAGATATTTTGTTCTTGACGTACATTTCTGCACTGTTCACTGAGTGAGTCATATTTCAGTAGGTAGTTTGTAAGAATCTCAGTGTAAGTCATGATGTACTGCTTATAGCAAGCAGGCTGCAAGATGGAGATCCTTTTATAATGTCAGCTTATTTTGGCTCCTCTGCACAAAAATATCACCGCTGTCCCCGACTGGGACTGTGTAGAATACGTTGTTTGTTTTCTGTCTGTCTTGGGCACCAGTGTGTGCTTTCTGTTAAGTTTCTATGACGGGCAGCTATTGCCAGCTGGTGCTATTGAAAATAATTGTTGCCAAACGGCAGCAGATTCTCTGCGGAAACCTCCCAGGGACTCAGAGCTGCATTGTCAGAGACGGGTTCGGGGTGGGGCTCGGCCAGTCTGTCAGAGAGAAGACGGGGAAAAGAAAGAAGACAAAACGTTGCTGTAAGAGGTCGGAAACGTGAAACTTTAATTCAGAAAAAGAAGATCAGAGGATTCTCAAAGGATAACAATCTGAGAGCAGTGGGAAGATGAAATGCGGTTGAGGCCGTACAGAAGACGCCCATTTGAATGATTGAAATGACAGTAAATGGGCAGAGTTCGACGTGAGAGGCTTCTCTGACAGGCAGAAAACATTAAATTTCTCCTACGTTGTCAGTCGTCATGATGGGAAAGTTTTAAACTGACTGAACTTAAATACTTCTTTTCCATCTGTAATGACCACTCGCGATGCTTTTCACTACACACACACACATTCACCCGTTCCCACTCAAACTCACACGTTTACGCACCAACATGCAGAACGGTAGGCCACTTGGGACCAAGTGCCTTGCTCAGGGGCACATCAACATGCGATAGGAGGAAGCTGGAATCAAAACTACAACTCCCGGTTGAAAAACATTTCCTCTTTTCTTTCAGCTTTTAAATTTACTCTCATAGTATTCTCTTTTTTTAGAAGGCCAACAAATAACGGTGATGAGGACATTTCTCTTGCTGAAAAGTAACATTAATTACAAAACAATTTTGGGGGATTTGATGATGCATGCCATTAAATGCATCATTTGATTTAGTAATTATTTGAGATTTTAATGAATCTCTCTTTTAAAAGTCCAATTTACCCTACATGGTAATTAACAATGTTTTCTAAAACTGTAATTTTATTAAGCTATTTTAAATACATCCATGTCTAAAAACAAAAAAAAATCTTATATTTTACTTTAGACCAGGTGCCTTAAACTCCAGTCCCCGAGTTCTGGCATCCTGCAACTTTTAGATGTCTCTTTGCATAAACACACCCGAGTCAAATAATCAGGTCATTAGCAGAACTCGACTGATTAGACGTGTAAATATTTATAACGTTGGGCATAATTGGAATCTACATTGTAGACTGCAATACACAATTCACATACTGGATGAGTCAGTTGGAAGTAGGACTTCATAAGCAATGATGCTTTCCAACTCCTTTTTCAACTGAATATAAATAGAAGTTTTATTTTTTGCTTAATTAATCTTCCTATTTTTTATTTTCTTATTTTTTTTCTCCATGACATTTGTTTCATTTCAAGTTATATCTTTATATGACCATAATTTACATACTATGCGTTTATATTTTTTATTTATTGTCTTTTTCCGTTTTTTTTTTTTCCTTTCTTTCCATTCTTAGCCAAACCTTGAAAATACTTCCATCATATTTCAGATTTTTCCTGGCTAACCCAGGAGGTCTAGGGATCATTTTTGTTACACATTGTGCTCACTGATGCACAGAGAGAATAATTACAAAGACATTATAGTCAATATACACTCAAAGTATCTATACATCATCCCTTACCAGTGTCTGCTTCTTCTACCTCCATATTGCTGCATGCCAAAAATAGAGACAAAACAAATCATAGCAATCTGAGCCAGAGGTAACTGATCACTCAGGTGATCAAAAGTGATTTCATAAAGAGGAAGAAAAGATTAATACTCAGTAAACATGCACATGTGTTGCTTTTATTCCGCCCTGGAATACATTCAAAACTCAGACGAAGCACAAATCACTGTATTTAAAAGTTAACTCATAACATTTCAATAAGTTTTAATTATACACACAAGTCTCTGCTGAGCCAGCAGCTATATGAGGTCAACATTCATTTAAAAACTCCCAAACCCAAACTGAATTGTTTAATTAAACCTACAAGCGCAGAATCCGAAGTCATTAATTGTGCGATCCGCTTGCCTCAGCCGTAAGCACAGACGCTCCACCTGAGTGACTTTCAGAATATTATGCCAAGAGGTGTTTTACACAGGACTGATTCTCGACCTGCGTGGACACTGTTCATTAAAATTACTTTTGAGCATCATCAGATGCAGCAGAAGCTGGAAACTACAAAACGTTGGGAAACATGCAATTAATAATATTTTACCACTGTCATAGTAAAATTATATGTTGAGACTCTATAACCTGTGGTGAGCACCAGCAAGTCTAACAGGTGATGAGATCCAAATTTTACCAACCTAAATTAGATTAATCAAAAATTACTTCATATGAAAACATTTTCCCAGTGTCGTTTGTCCCATATTGATATCATTGTGTCATCTTGGCTTTAAAAGAAATGTTCATATTACTTAATTATGCTTATTAAACCTCTCTATGCGTCTTAAAGGCAAACTCATTAATCTTATCTAATCAGTGCATGCAACATTAAACAGATACAAGTTGACATCTCAATGTGATTCAGGTTTTTAGTCTTTCAGAAGAGATGCTTGATCCATGTTGAGTTTTTTTTTTTGTTTTTTTTTTGCTGTAACTCTTCAGTGTCCTTTGATGCTTTCTCATAAATGACGGATTTAGGTGTTGGACTTTTTGTTGGAATGTCTAAATATCTTATTAATTAATTGTAAAAATGAACAGATTTAACTGCAAAATCTGTAGTCGTACATGGAAACGTTACCTCGAGAAAACATCATCGAATCCGTCCTCCACATCCTGTTGAGGCACAACAACAAAGTAGATCAATACAGACATAAAGTCCTGCAAGTCATAATCCAGCATCTCCACTAAGTCAGCTTTTTCCTCAGACCATTTGTTGTTCAAAAGACACATCGACTTATTTGTAAGCAAAGGCTGCAGAAATCAAACTCCAGAATTGGTCTTTCCTTTAGCCTTGTATCTTTAGGCACCATTTCTGCACCCAAATCAAAATTCGCACACATCAATCTGAAAATACAATATGGGGCGGATGTGAAAGAAGGGTAAACATACAAAAGCAGCATAAATAATAAACCAACTTTTATCCATACTAGGTAAAAATGTTCCAAGAGGAAGCACAGATATTTTAATAAGCACAGCGACATCTAGTGTTAAACATTTGCAACTGAATGAAGAAATTAAATCAACTTCACATCCTATGGCCAAGATTGCAGTTTTCTTTGCTTTAATCTCCACTTTTACTGATTTCCAGCACACGTTCCCTACAGTAAAATATACAGCTGTGCTTAGGACAATTAAGATTTTGGCTCAGATAAAACAATCAGCAGTTTTCTCAAGTCGGAAACTTGAACACAAAAAAGATGACATCTAAATACCAACTCCAAGCCCAAACCTACATTTGCTTCACAGGATATGATTTTGCTATGCAGACTGGAAAATCCTATTCAAATTGTTAGACATGTGAACAAACATTTTGGATAAGTAACTACTTTAGTCTCTGGGATCTAATCATGACAGTAAAACATGTTCCTTTGTGTTCTGTCAGTGGAAAAAAAAAAAAAAAAGTTTCAGGCATCGCTTGTTGCTTCCCTTTTAGTGGAGTTAAGCTGGTTACATACCCACGAGTCATGTTTAATCGGACGTCTCCGGGTGAGGTTACTGCGAGGCAACGGCGAGCTAAGAGAAGCAGAGAAGAAGGGCCTCCGGTGCTTCTCCTCCATCGCGGTGGGCTTATGCACCAGTGAATGTGACGGGGACTGCAGGTGCGAATGGGAGGCTGACGGAGATCCAGAGAGGACAGTTGGAATCAGACGAGGGAATAAATGGGACAGAAAACATCCAGGCAAAACTGAAGAGAAGTCAGACTTTGAATCGGTGCTGTAAAAACATTTACTCCCGTACCGATTTCTTCTTTGTTGTTAATGTTTCACATCGTCACATAAATTTTAAATTTAGGGTTTGGGAAAAAAAAAAAAAAAAAAAAAAATGAACAATTAAGTGGTAAGGATTTTTTGACCCTCTGAGGAGCCAAGAACATTTTGACCTATAAATGTCAAGGCCAGTACAAATTTAGAAACTGCTGCTAGCCTTTAAGAGTTATGGTTATTCATAATTAGGGTGATTTGTTTTTCTGAATGTGAGGAGTGGCAGTTAAATTTGTGTAGGTCGGCGAGTACATATTCACAGGCCTCATTATGGTAGCCACATAATAACCTGTAAAGGTCAGTGAAGGAAGCATAACTCACTGCAAAGAAGCAAGAAATCTTCCAATATGTGAAAATGTCTGGATCTTATTTATTTATTTTTTTTTACTACTGCCGCCTTCGGCTCAAATAGCAATAGAGTAGGAAGATCTCTGTGCAAACTGGTTACTTGTTATCCAAGGAACCAGCTTACCCAAGTTAAAGTTCCAATAAAAAGTTTATTAAATGATAAGAAGTAATGGGTCCTTGCAACAGTAATCTCCTAAACCTACTGCCGTGTCTCGCTGATAGTATCTCATCTCTGACTGTTACTGCAGAGCCCAGTTTGTTGCACAGGAACACATGTAAGGGGACGTATAGAAAAAATATATATATCTCACCTGCCGGAACACACTGCATTTCTGTCGTTACCATCTGTCCATCATTGGCTGCGCAGGAGCAGCAGCTCCTTGCCTTCTTGTTTTTGTCTGCGCACAGAAAGGTTATTCTCAGAATCCTAAAATGGAAAGCTACAGTTTCATCATAATTTTATTTGAAATGTCCCAAAGACCAAGCAGGGCTTTTTTTTTTTTTTTTTTTTTTTTTTTTTTTTAAAAAAATTTTTAAAAAAAAAAATTAGGACGCATTTACATTGACACGGACTTACCTTCCTGAGCAATTTCCCAAAGATCTAATGCTACTTTAAATGCCTGAGCTACTGTTAAGGTCACAGCCTGAGCCTGGAGGAGAGAGAGAAAGGCAGGAAAGCAATGAAAAACGGCAGGTGTTCCTTCTCTTTCACATTAGTAGAAAACAATACTTGGCTATTGAAAAGAAACAGATGCATTTGTTGTGGATTTAAAGGATATAACAGAAGCCCTAGGACAAAAATCTGAGTATATGAAGTTGTGATATGTTTCTGTAACAGATGCTACTATAAATACATTTGACAACCAGATGGAACAGTCCAGTTGGAAGATAATTTGGCAGCAGAGGCTTTGCAAATGATTTGGAAGGAGCTGGCATCAAAGTCTGGAGTTATCAGCCATATGAAAGTCAGTTTAAGTGGTGAGGAGGCATAGAAGATGTTCCATAGATGTATTAGGCAGCATATTTCTAACTTGATAAAATTTGAAAGAGGTCACAGTTTGGGTTTGTAGGAGGCTGGGTAGTAGAGCATAAAAATGCAATAACTAAATAAAACCATCTATAAAAGTGACATTTTTACAGCAAATAATTTTTTTTTAACATAACAGATGTTTTGAATAAATGAGTCACTATTGACTAGAAAAACTTGTCAAAATTCAAAATGCCATTAAAAGGACTGCCACAAGATGGCACCACACAACAACCAGAGTCCTTTTCCTTCATTCTTGAGGGTCTTCATCTTCATCAAAAACAAAATTTCCAGACTAAGATTAAAATCCAGTAGCCTGCTGGTTAAAACCATCTACATGACTCTTGGTATATACAGGTGTTTGGAGGATTTTGCACACTTACAACTTTTCTTTTTTGGCAGAGGAATGCATGACACTCGAGAGTCTCGTTGAACTGGCTTTGGGAAACGTAAGCGAAGACCTTGTCCTGAGTTTTGTCTGCGGTGCAGTATGAGATTCTGCAAGACAGGACAGGAAAATGAAATTTGAAAAATGTGTGACCTAATCTTTAAATGTTCTGTTTTTAACAGATAATTAGCCCAAATATGTAAATTAATCACATATTAAGACAAGAATGAACAAACTGATCCCTAATAAAAAGGCGTTTCTATGCAAACGGAAATCTTCAATGTTAACCAACAACAGCAATACACATGTGCTTTTAAAATTATTTTATGAGTAATGTCAGCCAACTGAATAACTAACTGTGCAAAAGTGAAGTTGCTGAAAATCACATTTTTATTTGCCTTTTTTATTTGAAATTTGTTCCCACCAATAAATTGCAGTTTAAATTAGTTTTAATTACACAGATTTTTTTTTTATGCAAGTTACATTTCTATCCTAGCTACTGAATACCCATTTCTACTGGGTTGGATAATAACAGCAGTTCCTCCATCAGATGCCACATAAAAGTGTTTATTACATGCTTTTTGAACACAGATTATTGAATAAAAAAAATAAAATAGTAAACATAGAATGAGGTTGTAGTGTGAGAAAATTAATGTATTAAAAACTTAGCATGACAAACAATATAGTCCAACCTTTTATTAATCTTATTAACCACAAAATAAGTTTCTCAAATGAAGAACAGAAACTTTGGTTCAACTATCCCGAAATTTCAGTGCCAAACAAAAATGGTCTCTGGTGTCACCGACTCCACACTGGAAAAAAACAAATATGTTAACCTGTAAATGTAAAGACTCTAGCAGAGTCTTTATATTTAAGTTGATTGTCACAAATTATTGGAAAGGAATTAAAATAAATTTCATTCAGCTGTTTTAACCTCGGGGCTGCACAGTGGCACAGCTGGTAGAGCTGTTGCCTTGCAGCAAGAAGGTTCTGGGTTCGATTCCTGGCCTGGGGTCTTTCTGCATGGAGTTTGCATGTTCTCCCTGTGCATGGTGGGTTCTCTCTGGGTTCTCCGGTTTCCTCCCACAGTCCAAAAACATGACTGTCAGGTTAATTGGCCTCTCCAAATTGCCCCTAGGTGAGTGTGTATGCATGGTTATTTGTCTCTGTGTTGCCCTGCAACAGACTGGCGACCTGTCCAGGGTGACCCTGCCTTTCGCCCAGAACGTTAGCTGGAGATAGGCACCAGCACCCCTCCCGACACCACTGAGGGACAAGGGTGTAAAGAAAATGGATGGATGGATGTTTTAACCTCATACTGAAGCATCTGTGGCTTCACTTAGACAAATGGCCGCCAAATTTGCCATGTCAGATTTTAATCAGAAGCAGTATTGATCTTGAGTCACCATATGTTTCTATGCAAGGGTATCAGGACATGCAGCATGCTTCATGGTTGCTCCTTTAAACAGCTGCGAAAATGAGCCACAGCCAGCGATGCTCCTTTAACTTTTGTCACCAAGCAGCCTTTTCTTGAAAGCAGCACAAGGACAAGGAGGTGTTCTTTCTTCTCTCTCAAAATCTGATCTGGAAACCAAATGTCTAATCTTACGTCAACCGAGTCAGCGAGCAGGGTCTTTAAGAGCATCACTGTTGACGGCTGACACTGGATGACTGTCTGATCTGCCGTCATTACAGTAACTTGTAAATCGTGTGCAAGATGGATATCTGGATGGCTGACACTTATTTGCAGCCAAACTTCAAAGAGGAGAGGGAGGACAGAAAAAAAAAAAAAAGTAATTTTAAGATCAACTAACGAGCATGAAATCAGCAGTGCTCGCATCACTCCCTCTTATTTTGTTTGCCGGCTTGCAACACTGCTGCATGACCCACATTGCAAGGCCCAGGACACACGGCTCTCCCCACGCTCTAACTTATATTTGGGCTGTAATTGCGTAAAAAATGCATAGAGAAAATACTGAGAGGTTTGACCTATTTAAGGCTGAAAAATAAGCATGATGGCAGCAACTGCTGCGACTGCTCAACAGAAATGTAACTATTATAATAGTTAAACACTAACCTGCGTTCTGTTAAATTGCTATTAGGTTAGGAGTTTTTTTTTTTTTTTTTTTTTTTTTTTGTTCACCCAATCAGGGAATGCAGCCGTGGGGCAGACAAGGCAACATGTGCAACATTTTATTATACGTTTATTGTTCAACGAACAGTTTAAACAGAATGATGTAATAATCCAGCCTTACTACTGAAAGAAGACAAAAATGTTAAAATTTAGTGTTTGGAAGAAATTACTTGCCAAAAATGATTAATCAAATTATTAAGAATACTGTATCCAATATGAGTACTCGTAAACTATCAGTAATATTATTTATGGTATGATGTTTTAGCTTTCAACCTGTCAGAAAATAAATACGCTGAGTATATTTCATAGCTGCTACTCATTTGATCTCGGCGTTTCATGACTTAAGTTCTTTTAAGAATATTTTCTGACCTATTTTAGCATATAATTACCCAAACCATGTCATACTCATTTACAAAATGTATATATTTTTATATCTTGCCACTGCCTGTTTGAAACCATTAAAAATTTGCTTCTATTTGTTTATGCATTTTCACATTTGTGAGTAAGATGACAGAAGCTCAGGTCTTGTGTCAAACCAGGCAAATAGTATCAGACCGGAATAAATCATGTTGCTTAATTGTATTGCTAGTTCAAGAATATACAAACAAAAACCAAATCTACTGTATGTTCAACTAATTGGCATGCAATAAGGGAGTGCTGTATACCTTAAAGATGTGTCTACAATAAAATTAAGCTCTTTTTTATTGCAATCTTTAGTTTTTTATATAAACGTAAAAACTAATAGTAGTAATAGAAGGTGGTAGAAATAGGAAGTAGGTTACTTTTTTTTTTTTTTATAATCCGCTTTGCCAGAATGATGTTCAAACACAAAAATATGTTCTAATTTACTCATGGTTTAGAAAAGTAACTTACAACGGCACAGAAAGCGCTTTTTTTTTACACTTCTATTATAATATAAACACAAACCTTATGCCTGTTTTGGTGGAGTTGGCAGGCTTTTTCTGTTCCTCTGTGGATATTATCAACAGGCTTGAACAGGTTGACACTGTAAACAGCGCACATACATACCTGTCAGGCTAACTGCTCTGAGCTCAGATCAAAAAGTGTTTGAGTGGTTGTTGCAGATTTTTTCCTTTAAAAAACACAACAGTTTTGAAGGGAAGCACTTGTACCGGAGTGCAGGCGACAAAACATATTTACTGTTCATGTGCCTTGATTTCTTAAGCTGCTGTGGCGTGGCTTCTCATCTTACCACGCATGTTGGTGCATCTAAAATAGTATTTTACCTGGATGTAAGCATGAAGAAAAAAAAAAAAAGGTGATTTTGTCCAACATTATGCTGTTCCATTTGCAGCAGTGGGATGCATGGCAAAAGAAATGCAGCCTGTTCAAATGCACTTTTCCAAAACGGTTTCTAATTCAAAATCAGTATATTTTATAGTGTTGTCCAAGCTTAGTCACTCAAACTTCTCTTAAGTATCTGACCATCAACGCCAATTTAGAATGTAAACAATATTTGCTTAAACATGCATATTTTTATGCCCCTGAAATGCAAGACAGACACATCATTTTGTCTTTTCATACTGAATAAAAACTTGAGCATCTTGGATAAGAGTTGAAAGCTGTAAGCACAGTCACTCAAAGGTCACAAGTTGTCAAACAAGTTGTTAGATTCGCAGAACAGGCGAGACTGCCCATCAGACGGCGACGTCAAGCAGCCGGCATGCTGAGATGAGTGAATCATCTCATCATTTTCTGCATTATGTACCTTGGATTTAAATAACATTATTAGGCCAGTGGTATGAAAGCTTAGAAGGTGTTACAGATTTCATTGTGTGTGACAAGCATCATAAGTTTAATAACTTGTGAATGTGCAAAATATTAATCCTTGCCAGAACATCTAATCCCATCCGGCAGACAAATCAGTCATCAAAAACAGCTTAAATAAATATACATTTAGGATCTTTTCATAAAAATAATAAATAACTGGCACTGTTCTGAGAACACAAAAAGCATCAGTGTCCTTCAACTTGAAATAATCTAAAAAAAAAATAAAATAACTGACAGCATCACACTGGGTCTGAACAACATAGGCTGAGCTGTCAGTCTGCATCATATCTCCGACAGGCCCCTCTGGACCACAAGCCTTTGATCTTTTCTCAGTGTAGAGCACCGGTGTGTGAGGCAGAAAGTGAATATCATTGAAAATATTAAAATATTTACAGAACAAAGCCTTGATATAGAAAACCAGACATCAAAGCCAAAAAACATCCACCCAAAACACCTGCTGCGAATGCAGAAATTAACTACTTCTCTTCTAGCTTCAAGTCAACGTGGAAACATTTTTTTTAGAAAATTGTAAAAAGACAACAGTCTATGACACAAAAGCAAAAAAATATATATAATAATAATAGTTTCTGAGAACGTTCCTAAGCCCTGTCATATCCTGTAGCTCCAGAGCAGATATCTGACAGACAGTGAGTCAGAGCAATGTGCATCATTAAAAGGTGGGCTGTCAGTCAGCATTTCAGCTGGGCTGCGTTTTTCTTTTTTTCCCTGAGATCCGCCCGTTTCACTGATTGATATGCCGGTTGGTCACTGAGGGCCCTCATGGGAATATGAATGATTAACACACAAGCAGATGGAGGCTGCAAACACCCTCACAATGTTCCTCTCGCTGGGAGGATCAGTGTCGGCTTTTAAATGAAGGATGTTTTTATTTGAAGCAGGACCACTGAGGACTGTATTAGCTTTCAATATCTGGATGTAGTTCAGGCTCCTCACAGTAAATAAAAGCCTCACAAAGTGGTCAATACTCAGAATCAAACCAGGCAGTCTTTAGCTGACCCAGCAGACTGCCGCATTGATCAAACTCCCAAATCTCCACTTAGGAAAAAAAGGAGATCAGATCTTTGCAAACTCTAGTAATATTCATCACTGCTTCCATTCTGCAGAGCAAAATATGTCTTTTCTTTTACACCCATTTAACTTCAAACATAAAAAAGTATTTTCAACCCAATGTTAAACCCTTCACACAACTACAATATAAATTATTTCTTGTAATTTACATTTATTCATTTTTAAAACGTTTATAACAGAACTGTTACACAGCAGGTTAGCTCCAATATTTATGTATATAAAAAACACTTGTTCAATATAATTGTTGCTATTTTAACAAGATGCACTTGTGCACCTTATCCTTATCCTTGCTGACGATAAGCAAAATTTTATGGTTTCGTGCCCGTTCCATCACATGCTCGACTGAATAGCCGGTTACCTCCGTTACAATCCACAGCGGTTCCCGAGGTTCCCCTGCGATCGTACGAGCGCAGATCAGATTTTTTTTGACCAAGCGGACTGCATGTGCGACGACAGAACTCGTTAAAAAGATGGCAACGAAACACATTAAAGATAAAGATCCACTGTGACATGAAGAGATCTTTGTCCTCTACAGATTTCCTGTGTTTCAAATCAACAAACAAAAGGTTAATATCAGAGAAAGATTAGCTTTGAAATGAGGCTCAAAGTGAACTACCAGTATATGCTGTCAAGAACAAATACAAAGGCTGCAACATTTAACAAATGTATTTAAGGGACACTAAGTGGGGATGTGTGCAGTGGATGGAGGTGTATTGGGTGTGGGGGTCTCGTTTCCAGTGCAGTGCACAACGCATTGACGTCTGTTTTCTAGTCTACTGCTAAGCCGCTCCCCCCAAGGGAAACGACTCAAATTACAGAAAATATCAAATTAACACAACAAATACAAATATGCCAAATGTTTAAGTTGTGTACTCACAGGTACAAATAGAACAGAGCTATCTAGAAACTAAACAAACACACACACAGCTTGTGTATCCAAGTCTTTCCTTTTCGAGTTGCTATGCACTGTAAACAGTCTTGATTTGATCCTCTCTTATCTCTACACTCGCCCCTTTCACCCTCCGCTGGCTGTCTTCCCACGAGCGGTTTATGTGCAAAAAAATAAAGATACAAGGCGGAGGAGTAAGGGGGGCTTTCAGGGCGATGGGGGTGGGGTCTCATAAATGAGGATAAATCCATCCTCTGTAGGCCAAGGCACTGTGTGTGGCCTGTTTCCTTGTTTCAGAGTGTGGGCAAAGACTATGTCTCATGTTCGAATTGAGCAATATGCCACCAGTTTACTTGCGTTCAGAACCATTATGAAATATACGAAAATCAGAAAGAGGGAGATAAGGAGCCAAGCCATTCCACCTGGACAGGGTTCAGGCACACCTGATAAGGTCGATCTGAAAAGGATTTAGAGCGGTACGCATATACACACTGACTGTATCCATTTACATGCACACACATTATCTGTCTTCATCTCAAACTGGTTTAGCTGAGAACGACTCGAGGCCAGGCTAACCAGGCAGAGCGCCAATCAGTGAGAATTCAGAGTCCAAATATATATTTGGGTCAATCTTGTTTTGAAATGTTGCTTTGTTCAGGTCTTGGGTCAACGTCATGTTATTCTAAATACATTTTGAAGAAACTGAACTTGAATTTGAACTGATTCAAACCTTGGGAACCTTTTATGTAATGAGTCAAAAAGCTGCTGCAGTGCTTTGCAGAAGAATCTTCAACCCTTAAACTACTTTTCATTTACACACATATTACAAACGCAAAGTCAGTGTTTTTTTTTTTATTTTCTTCCATTTTATATTGCAGATAATCAGAAAATAGTAGTAACTCTGAAGTAAAAGAAAAATATATGTAGTTTTACATTTTTAGGAGTGAAAATCTAAAAACTGTGGCATGCACATGTATCTACCTCATCTTTCCAAGTATGTTTGCAAGGTTTTGTTATCTGGAGATCAGCATTTTATGTCCATTGTTCTTTGCAAAAATAGTTCAAACTCAGTCAGCTTGGCTGGAAAATGTCAGAGATCTTCAATAGGATTTGACTAAATATGAATGTGCTTTCACATAAATCAATCCAGCATACCTTTGGTTGTATGATATGGTTGATATCCATTGGAAGGCAAATCTCTGCCCCGGCCTCAAGTATTTCACAGCCTCTGATAGTTTTTTTTTTCTTTTTAGATTAGCCTTGTATTTAGTTTACTTCATTTCAACATCGATTTTCAAAGGTTTCCCTGCCCCACTTAATGACGCTGATACCACATTGATCCATTAAGGGTGTGATACGCAGCGTATAGAGATTCCCGTCTCAGTCAAAAAGCTACATTTCAAATATTACATTTAATTATCTTTCCACTTCAGTTGTGTACTTATTTTTTATTGCCAAGACCCTATAAAACCTGGGGAACATACATTAAAGTCTGCAGTTGAAAAATGACAGATGGTGAAAACACTTAAAGTGAGAACGCATTTCTAAGGCCCTTTAAATATTTGTTAGCGTCTGCTTTGTCATGTTTATTTTGTGACTGAAATGTACCTGTATATAGAGACATTCTCTATTAGATCTGCAGTCTCTGTGTTTGTGATGATTATGCCCTTTGGAGACACTGTCAGGGTTACTTTCCGAAACTTCTTGGCACTGGCTCTGGCCTGTGGGTGCGAGAGAGAACACAACACACAAAGATCAGAATGGGAAACCCCCCCCGCCCCCCCGACTTCAGCTACACAAAGAACTACTCTGTCAGACTGACTGAAATCAAAAGTGATCAGGACTTGAGAATAAACACCTGACAAACACCAAATTGTGACGATTTGCTTCTGAGCAAAGGCGAGCGACTCGCTGTGCCCCAGAAACATGCAGTGGAATTTATAAAAGGCGACAGAATGGGGGGAGGAATGGTGCAATGTGAAGCCCAGAGTGAGCTCTCCGGGTCGGGCTGGCAGCCATCGACTCCCCCTGCTGCTCTGCACCATCTGGGCTTTCAGCAAAATCAGTGGTACTGCTGAGCTTGTAGACTCCGAGAGCGCCTGTTGACACAGACGGTGACCGACGGTGACCGACCTCTTTACCGCACAATTACAACGCAAACAAGAGCAGTTTAGAGCCTCACTTAAACAATGACAGCTGCACAGTCACAGGAGGGACTGAGGAGGAAAACAGCTATGAGAAAGCAAAAAATAAATTAATAAAACAAGAAATAAATAGGAAAATAAAATTTTTAATCAACTGGTTTCACATCTATCAACCTTAAGAGGGGTTTGTGTAGTGGTATCTTTACTCAAGCAGAAACTAGGTCTCCTCAAGGTCAATTAATAGCGTCATGGCAAGCTGAAAGGGACCAAAAATCTCTTGAGATGATACAATGAAGAGCAGTTTCTGTTTAAGCCTTTATAACTTCCATATATATATATAAGTAATCAAAACGAGGGAAGGGCTGCATTAGCTGACTGTGCTGCTGGAGCTCGTTCATGTAGAAACATGGACAATTTCTGCTGCCGCGTTACAAGTGTCATGCCACCAGGCAAAAACCAATCTGTCAGCCTGAGATATGCCAAGTTCAGACTCTTTCTGTACGTTTGGTCCCGCTGCCTTGTCTCATCACGTCTGAATGAGGCGTGGAGCAAATGGAAATGTCCCAAATGTTTTCTGCTCTCCAGCTCAGGTGGACCGGTTTCCAAGGGAACGGACAAAGACAAAACCAGACTTTTTGTGTGTGTGGGTGTGTGTGTGTGTGTGTGTCTTGGTGCAAAATCATCTAAATTTTAATCCTGCCAATAGGCTTGATGCAGGCTCTACTTGAGAAGCAGAGGAGGTGTGATTAGACTGCCTGAGCAGAGCTGTTCGTTCTGAAAATAAATAAATAAATAAATAAAACCTTTGACAAAATATGAGCAATTTATTCTAGGTGATATGAATTGAATATTGTTGTCGGGGTTGTGTGCATGGTAATAAAGGAATTAGCAGGTGGAAATATGAATAAAATTTAAATGCCTGTTCGCATAAAACATGCAGGTGGCCGAAACCTTTAGATGTTTTGAAGGGGCTTAAATTCAGTAGAGTGCTAGCGATTTTGAACGCAGTTCTTTGAAAACTGATAGCATTTTGAATTGGTAAAGGAAAGCATGGATGGGAATCTAAAGCCGTTTCCTGTTGGCAATGTGTCAGATTTTTTGACTCGTTCCAAATTAGAATCTGAAATGTTGAATCCGACGTTCCTTCCATTCTTTATTTGAGGCCAATTAGTAGAAACGCAGGGTACCACAATATTGGGCATTGTTTGCATGTTATTTCTGGGCACACTCTACAGTAGACATGGACATCATGTGGCTTGAAGGCCAGAAGACCATCTGTGTCTTCTGTGACCTCAAATAAAATTATTTAAATTAATACTAAGAAAAACAGCATTCCATTCATGAATCCTGAGATGGGAAATAAAATATTGTGAATGTTAAAACTTCCAGCAAAACAACTCTTCTGCAATACACCAACACAAGGCAGCACATAATGATGCATGGTTTCCAATTGACAGGATCCATGTATTTTATTTGGCTTGTTTAAACGAATAGAATCCATCAACAAAGATTATCCTTATGAATTATTTTATACTCGTGATAAATGAATACCTAAGTAGCCTTAAAACAGGGACAGCATACCACTGGCACAACATTTGTTACGAATTATATCTTGAATTCAACTGAATAGTTGGAATTTCTCAAGCCTATATCAACAGTGGTTCAAGTTAAATCTCATTGATGAGCTTCAGCACTGAAAAGAGGATTGGACAGTGCTGTGGGCATAGCCACCATGGCTGTGAGCTAATCTTTCATGGTACAGTAGTGCGATTATGTCCATGCATTGACATTTTGCATTTTATTTAACTTTTACATCTGCTTCTTATCATGTATTGTTGCCCCACAGATGATGGAGTTAAGCCCATAGCATAAAATTATGCAGTGATATTATTCCCTTTTAACTCTTTATCAAACTACAGTGATAAGAAATTACCCTTGAGCATCCCAATGAACGGCACACATTTTAAATGTAAACATTACCTTATTTTTTTTAAGTCCATTATAATCCTCATGTACTGCCCTACCTCTGTTAGTACTGCATTTGTGTGACTTAATATTCAAATTAGGTTACACAGAGGAGCCTTTGGTTCTTGTAAATTCCTGCGATATCAAACTGCTAAAGCCACAATCTGCTTTGCCTGATTTGACTGGTGTCCCAGTTCTACGGCTTAATCCAGAGTCCCAGCTCCAAAACATTCCTACTTTAAAATTCATTGAAATTTGAGTTACAAAAAAAAAAAAAAAAAAAAAAAAAAAAAAAAAAAAAAACAAAAAAAAAACGGGTTAAAAAAAAAAAAGGA